TAAATCACTTTTTTAAAAAACAATTCCTAGGATTATTTGGCATTAATAACCTCCATAAGTGGCCACCAAGACACTCTTTCCTGCACAGTAGAGAAAACAGGAATTTTCTTAGTTGTTAACCCAGAGTTAAAGGGAACCCCCCTGCCTGTCTCAGTGCTGTAGTAATGCGCACATGGGAGGCCCGGAGGTCCTGACCGGAGTGAAGCCAGTGAGGTGGATGCAGGGCATATTCTCAGGACACGGTGCCAGCAGGCCTCACTTCTGATCTACAGGAGCAAACTCAATAGAGGTGGAGAGGTACAGTTTTGCCTGAGATGTGAACTCCGACATAAAGACAGCTGCTCAAAATAGCCCTCATCCTCTTTGCCCAAGCCTAATATGCAAGATTTTATCTCAGTTGCTCCCTGTCACCTGCTGTTCCTGCTCGACACTGCAGTTCTCCAGGTGGCTATTCCTGGATAGTGTTCTTCCAGAGATTCATTGCTCTTCTTTCCTCCTTATTTCCTTACCGGTTTATTTTGACAACTTTACTGAAGTGTAATTTACATACCATGAAATTCACCCATTTCAGGTGTATGATGACTTTTGTGTAAATTTACCAGGTTGTGCCACCATCACCATAATCCCATTTTAGAACATTTTCATCATCCCAGTAGGAGCATTTATGCCCAATTAGTTTATCTCCATCTCCACCCCCAATTCCAGGCACCCACTAATCTATACTGTTTTTATAGAATTGCCTTTTCTGGACATTCACAGAAATGGAATCATATGTTACATGGTCATGTGTCTGTCTTCCACTTAGCATGTTTTTGAAGTTCATCCATGACGGAGCATGTCAGAGCTGTTTTTGTGATTGTGGGTTCCTGCTGCCTTTCCTCCAAGGTGCTAAGACCACCGGCTCTTTAAACGGCCCTCCTGAGTCACCCCAGACTCTCCTTCAGAAGTCTGTTCTCCATGGGGTGGGTCTGTCCTCCACAGGTCCAGGCGCTTCACCTGGGCTGAGCTGCCACCTTTGCCAGCCTGTGCTCCAGGCTCTGCCTTGATCCCTGCCATGCTTCCTGCTCTTTCTCCAACAGCCTGGCTGGTTCCCACCTGGGCCCTGGCCATTGCTCCTGCCCCCAGCCCCCACGTCTGTGTCTATCATTTGTCCTCTCGTTCTATTCAGGTCTTTGTTCAAATGTTGCCTCCTTAAAAAAGGTGCTCTCTGACCTCCTTGGCTAAAACAGCATCCCTTGTTATGGACTATTCGTTTATCCTGTTTTATTTCTTCACAGCTCCTGTTAACTCCTGAAATTGTATTTTCTGTTTATTATCTTGTTCATAGACTAGTTGGTAAGTGTCATAGTCTATTTGGGCTGCTATAACAAAATACCATAAACAACGGAAATTTATTTCTCACAGTTCTGGAGGCTGAGAAGTCCAAGATCAAGGCACTGGCAGGTATCTCGTGAGAGCAAACTCATCGGTGTCTGGTGAGGGCTAACTTCCTGGTTCACAGATGGTGCCTTCTTGCTTCGTCCTCACGTGGTGGAAGGGATGAAGGGTGTTTCTCTCAGATCTCTCATGACCTAGTTACCTTCTAAAGGCCCTGCCTCCTAATACTATCACTTTGGGGGTCAGGATTTTGACATATAATTTTTGGGGGGACACAAACATGCAGACCACAGCAGTAAGAGTGTTGTTCCTAGGATCCAGCTTCTAGGGTTACCACCCTGCCTGTCTGCTTCCTGGCTGGGCAACCTTGGGCCTTTGCCAAATGGGATAAGGGTAGCATGTGCTTCATAAGGTTGCATGGGGATAAACATTCACACAGAGAGTGCTTAGAACAGGGTGGCACAAGGTAAACACTCGGCCAAATAATTTATCATCTGCCTCCTCCCCTGGAGTGTCATCTAGATGAGGGCAGGACTTTTCTTTCTGTACCTCTAGCCCATGAAATATGAATGAATGCAGAGTATGGCTAAATGTTCCTCGTTCTTTGGCCTCAGTCCTCATACCACTGGCCTGATCGCCCCCTGACAATCTGACCTTTGCCTCTTTACACCCCCCGTCACACTTTCCAGCCTGTCCTTACCCACCTTTAAGTCTTTGCAACCATTTCTGGGCATTAGTTACGTGGTTTGCTCTGGGGAACTCCCAGAGGCTGGTAAAACTGTCTGAGCGACATGCAGAGATTGGTGACAGGCTTCCTTAGTTGAAATTTAACCTTTCTAAACTGGTAGCACCATTTGTGTGTAGCTGCCTAAGCTTTAGTGGGAGTATTAAGAAACATGATTAATTGCAAAGTTTTACAATATTCCAGGTGTATGCATATTAAATGACATAAATCTGACTTTATCTTAGTAAGGTAACAAATGCTGTGTGGCGTGTTCAGCAAGGCCCCGTGACAAGGGTTAGACCACTTGTGCCACATGGACACCTTCTTTTCCAAAACACCATAGACCAACATAAGACAGTGCCAAAGGGCAGAACACAGGATGCAAAGAAAGGTGGCATCATGTGGAGGACACTCCATGAGAGCATTGGGGAGGAGCTCAATCTCAAGTCTTACTTCCAATGTTTTAAGCTCAAAAAAGATATCTTTAATTTGTGGGCTCAGTTGTCCTCTAAAATCTAGACATAGAAATTAGGTTGGAAGAGAGAACTCATAATTGAAGGTGAATTATATGCTGGGCACTTACGAACGTGTAACTTGGTTTATTCCTCATCGTCATCAGTTATTAAATGACAGAGGTGAGATTTGAGCCCAGGCCTCACTGACTTCTCCTGAAGCTCACTGGGAAAAACTGGCTGGATTCTGTGCAACCTAGAAAATGCTCCAGACCAAGTGGGCACAACTCAGCTATCTGCTCCTCAAACGAGCCAGCTGCCTTTGGCTGCTGTGACTTAACTGTGCAAGTTAAGGAAAGAGGCTGCCTTTGGCTTAACTGTGAAAGTGTACTTTAGTGTTGTTTCTGCTATGCTGGTCAGCAGTTACACTGCACTTAACTAGTTAGCGTCTCTCCACATAGATGGGGGTGATGTCAGAGTCTCAGAATGCACCACTAGCTAGCGGCACACTTTTTCTCTGGAGGGGTTTCAGTGAATCACATGTCCAATGACAGCTGCGTTATGTATAGACTTATTCACACAAGCAGCAGTAGAAAACATGATCCTAAAAATACCAAGCCATGTAGCCACCCTTCAGCTGTGCCTGGTATCTAGTAATATGCTTGATAGAAAACCATGTGCCTAATATTTGACCACACCTTGAAAAGTAAAGAGAGTGAGCTCTTAAGGAAAAGCATATACATATACAATTTAAAATAGGACATGGAAAAGTACAACTTATTGGAATAATGAAGTAACCTTTTAAGCTATTTTATATAAGGTTAAGATACTTCACATAAAATAGAGGGTAATTATTTTCATTGTATCTGATAAAGACAAAAGGCTGCTTTTTTCTTATAAATTAGATCGGCATTTCCCAAACTGATACCCAAAGGCACACTGTTTCATGAGATGTTAAAACATATGCCTTGAAAAAAACTTTTATGGACAAAAGTTTGAGGAATGGTATATCTTCCTCTTAAAAATTCTTGGGAGGGGGGAGTGGAGCAAATAAAAACTATTTCTTTTGCTTAAAGTATGATGATTTCTATTTCCAGGAAATGGTCGATGGGGGGAGAAACAGCTTGGGAAATACTGAAATTTCTGATTGTAAGATAAGCTTGGATAAATGCATCTGTTTGGATACCTTTATCATTTACTCATTTATCCATTTACATTTACTCATGTGGTCTCTAAGTTTCATATTCAAGGTACTCTGATTTCCAGAAACAGTTTCAACCAAATTAACACACAAATAGGTGAGTAATTTCAATTTTCTGGTCCAGATTTTTAAAAGGAGACATCCAAACCAAAAGAGCCTCAGAGCAGATTATCACCTGACTGAGCGATTAATGTTTAAGATAGTAAGCCTGTTGGGCATAACTTTGCGCGCATGTGCCCTGACGCGCACGGGCGCCAGTTCATGCGCT